TTTGTGAGCAGGTGCATCTGAGGGTCTGAAAAGTGCAGTTTTTCTAACGTACCAGTTGGCTGGTTGGTGCAGGAGGCTGAGCTGAGAGCTGAGGGTCCAAGCACCAGCCCCATGGAGAGTAAAGCAGATGTTCTCACGGTCCAGCGTTCTTGGTTAACCAAGGCTGGGTCGGAGCACCGATGCACGGACTGACTTGTCTAGTGGGAAGCCGGGAGAGAATTAAGTCTGTAGCGGCTGGTACTGTTGAAACATCCTCCCTGCCCACACCTGCTGCCCTTGCCTGATACGCAGCTCCTGCTCTTTGCTCTCTCCCTGCAGCGGGCACTCAGCGATGTGCAGGTCGGCGAGAGCCAGCGCAGCCCCAGGATGACCTCCCCCCTTGCCTGGTGACGGGCCCGCAGCAATGTGAGGTGCGACAATTTCTTGCCAACAAAATGCAATTTGCTCCCGTCGAGTTTGGTTGTAAATACGCTGCTGTCACCTGCTACCACCAAGCAGAACCACGGACCGAGGGGTCGGGGCAGTCTGGACACTGAAAAGGCACCACAGGTGATAGTGGATGGAGGCAAGGGTGAGGCAGAGGGACACGAAGGTAAACACCGCGCTGGTCTTGACAACAGCTTTCTTGGCATCCTCCATTTCCAGCGTTTTACCGAGTCAAGGATTTCAGATACATCTGGGTAACACCCCACTCTCTCGTGTTTCCAGAAGACATGTAACTGGCACCAGCAGTGGCTGGAGACCTTCCCCACGTCCCCACAGCCAGTGCCCGAGCACGGCTGGGCAGGAGTCTGCCCTTGCAGGGTACAGCCTTCCCCAGGCAGGCACCGCTCGTCCCCGCCGGCCTCGGGGCCGGTGTTAAAGCCCAGCCACAGACTCCCCGGGAAGCCAGAGCAGGTCAGGCAGGGAAGGGAGCGCGGGGGGACGAGGAAGAGGGATGCCACCAGCGCCTGCTGCCCCGGGACCCTGAGGAGCAGTGCTGCTGATCTCCTCTCGAATCCCTCTCCAACCCCTTCTGCCCGTGACCAGCGCGCAGTGGGGCTGCAGCTCCGCCTGAACAGACCCTAACAGCGCAGTGGAGATCGCCGGAGGTGGCCCAGGGGCTTTAGTCCCCCGCCATCGCTGGCCAGTGGCAATGGAAAGCAATACGACCTGGCAGAACGCTTCTGGCACGTCTGTGTGGTCCCAAATACGATCCAGTCTGGCTCTACCCAGCTGCGCTGGAGAGCAAGGGAAGCCCAGAGTCCTTCCCGGCCACCAGCTTTGCTTCAAGGTGTGGCAGAGACTGACAGGTCTTGAAATCTTCCCAAGAGTTTAACATCATCAGCACTAGGCTTATTTGAACTCACCAGGAGACAGAAATCCCTGAGCATTTTGGTGCCTCCTCGGAAAGTACAGAACCCCTGGCAGCCTAAAAATGAGTGGGATCCTCTGCAGCCCCGAGTGCCACCTCCGAGGCACGGCAGGGACCAGCGAGAAATACACCCCCTGCCCTCCTTTATTCACTCCTGAGGGCTGGAGTCCTGAGAGCCCCTTTACTGCACGACCAGTCATTCACGCTGAATATACCCAGGGACCTCTAGAAGGGTGCACATCCATCTTTCAACAACGTCTGATTGCTACTTAGATGACTTCATTCCCTCTGAGATGTCCCCTGGGACGAAAGGGCTATCAGCATCCCGTGGTCAGTGCTTGCGCCTCTGGGCGACACAGTGCCCCGAGAGCTTTTACGGCAGCAAACCTACAGTGCGTTAATATCGTGAGGCATTGCTCTGTGCAAAACGCATCCGTTGCCTTTCGAACCCGACACGCTCCAACGTCCTGCCCCGTGGAAGCCTCCAGCAAGCCGTAGCGTAGGTAACCTTCCTCCCGTCTATTGCCAGAGCAAGAGCTCTTGCTGCAGCCTCTGCTCACGTACAGAATCACCAACTGGTGCATTATTTATGGGAGACCTTACGACCATCAGATCTTCGGGTTTCAGTATTTTTTTAAACCCTGCCGTAGAAAGTGAAGTATCTTTTCACAAGTGTTCTCAGATTATACAGCTTTAAGTGCCAGGTAGTTCCCAGCGTTGTGTTCCCAGAGGTCTGTCGCTGCCTCTCCTCTGCCCCGACGCGGTGACAGGACAATGCTCACTCAGCTCCTCTTTCCGTTTTGGATGTTGCACACTGCATTCAGTTGATTTTATTTTATTAAAAACATATTCAATATTTAAACCACTGGAGGTTCTTTTGAAAATGTCGTTACAAATGTGAAAATGCTGTACATAGATTTTGCTACATGTTGTAACTTTCCAAAATAGTTAGAACTCCAATCCCTTTGGTATTTTTATGTGAATATTTTCAAAGAACCAGAACTTCTGACATACGGTTATATTATTTGATAACGGGACTATGTATATTCACAATTCAGTCTCTACCCAATGCCTATGTGCTATTCCTAAAATAAAGCTACTGCCTTCTGCCTCCTGACTGCATGTGCCTCCGTGTTCTGCCAAACGTTGCTCCGTACGACAGCTGCAGGTGAAGGTGTGAGGAATTCTGCATCTGGCACTTGTGTGGCTGCACTTCTTGATATCGGCCCCTTACCCCGACAGGAGAGGGATGCAGGATCTGACCTTGCCGGGTTTGGGCTGGTATGGGGAAAATGACGGTGTAACTGCGAAGAGATCTGTGTGCGTGCCAGCCTTCAGGCTAGTGAGATGAGTACCAGCAGCAAATTCTTAAAATAGTATGGATTTTTTCTGAAGCCTTCAGAAGAAAACATTGAGTGAGCATATGAGCCAGCGAATTGCTTCCCTCCGACAAGGAATTCTTGGCTGAGGTTGAGTTTATGTCCCTGGAGCATTTTATCTCCCTTTACGCTAACAGCAGATAGGGACCGGCTTCGTATCAGATTTCTGGTTGTAGTTTAGCCTCTTTACAGCAGCCTGCTCGATCCCTGGCTCCTCCCTGGAGGCCACGGCACCGGCACCTGCAAAACGGCTCTGAACGGAGTTCACAAAATGGTCACAGGCAGAATCCCTTGCTGGGCACCTGCACGTAAAGCGCTCGAGCCCCTCCGCATGTTGCTTTAGCCCTCCTGGCCGACTGAGCCCGGCTCTTCTGCAGCCCCGGGCATCTCGAGCGGCCGCCAAAGCTCCCACCCCGGGTCCAGCGCAGCCCGGTGATGTCCCTGCAGAGGTGATGTCCCGGAGCCTCCGTCGCAGTACGTCACATACCGCAGTCGGCATCATTCACTGCACAGGCTTGTTTTGCAGTTTCTTGGTAACTGCAACCATTAGGTAATTTTTCCCCAGAATCGCCCTCCTTTTAGCCCCGTACAGCCCAGCCTGAACAGAACGCCTGCGTCAGCCTCGACCATGGGACTGTCTTCACGGGAAAGCCCGTCCTTGGAAAGGAAACAACAACTCCGGCCGCAGCCTGGGGTCAGCGCGGGGAACGCAGCCCTGGTGCGGCTCCTGCCCCACGGCGTGCCCCTTCCAGCCTCCGACAGAGGGGGAAACAGTGACCCTGCAATTCCCAGGTTACATTCCACACCTCTGATTATTTAAGGATTTTTCTCTCTTTCCTGCAAGAAACGGGGGGAAAAAACCCTCAAAGAGGAAATGAGCAGCCTTAGTACGGTGAAGACATGATCGCGGCTCCAGTTGATGGACTGGCCGGGATAAAATCGTACCAGGCTGGCATCTCCACGCCGAAGCGGAACCACGTATGAACCCTCCCTCTAAGTATCTTGATAGTGGTTTGAAGGGCCACGATCTGTAATTATTTTCCAGGTGCCATGAAAGATGCCAAAGAGACAAACAGGTCTCGGCTTCAGACTGGAAGGGCTGGAGGCCTGGAAAAAGTGGCACCGACTGGGAGGTGGCACAAGGCACCTGGATGCTGAATTTGAAGCCCTTCAGGATCCACCTTGTTCTAACACAATTTAGGAAAATCTGGGTTTTCCACATTCTAGCAGATCAGATTAAAGCATCTCCAATCGCAAGATTCAAAGACCTTTAGTTATGTTCATCAGAATTGTGAGCCGAGCATGAAGCAACGAGATAAGATACAGATAGTAGGTTTTTCCTACTTTGCTTTCTGGTTTCTTAGACACTGGGGTGCCTTTTTTTTATTTAACATATTTAACTGGCCTTCGTTATCAATCCAGAAAATTCAAAAGTGAAGGGGAGGGCTGAATTTCTGATTCTAGCAGCTGAGCCTGTCAGAGAAGGGTTAAGTTTCACAAAACCTTTGGTAAAAGCAGCACAGTTAGTTGCGACGTTAAACACGCCGTGAGAGACAAAAGCAGCGCCTGCGCGCAGAGATGCTGCTGAGCCCGGCCAGCGCCGCGGGACCGACGTTACCGGGGGCTGCCCTGCTTTGGCGGAGGCTTTCACGCCGGCGACGCAGGAGAGCTGAGGACTCGCCGGTGACACATGCCCTCAGGGGATCACGTGCCGTAAAATTCAGGTTGATAACTTCACCGTCGGGACATGGATTAGGCTTGTGTAAGGCCAGAGCCCATGCTCCATCTGCCCTCCCAGCCAGCGGGCTACCTGCCCAGCGAGAGACACGGGGCTTCTCGGTCGTGCTGCCCTGGGGCTCTGTGCACCCCCACGTCAGAGATGTATGAGCTGCCTCCTGCCACGGTCTGTGTGCTGGAAGGTCCCTCTTCAGCATCATTCCCGGCGTGTTATTTGGCCGTAAGTGTCTATCAGGCTTTTCAGACAGATGGTGCTGAAACCAAAACCTCCAGCCTGCTCCCAGAAGGGGATTCGATTCTGGGGTCAGCCTACAGACTCAGAAACGAGTTACGTACCCCAGCCCACTCCTGCTCTTTGTAAGGCTTAGGCAGAAACTGAGAGACAGGACTAGCTGTCAGCTCCCCCCTGTGTCGCGGGCCGTCAGCTTGACCGGACATCAGCACGGATTTTTTTTATTGTCACTCGTCCCTTCTCTAGCTGCACAGATTGCTTAAGAGAATGGCACTCCGTGGAGTTTGACCCGGGAGCCCTGATAGTGAAAATAATACACTTCTCACCAGAGCCACGGGACACCGAAAGAGTAACTTCGGGCAATTAGTTTAACTTTGACTATAAATATTCCTTCTCATTCCTTGTGACACCGTTAACAGCTCCGCTGGCAAATCCCGATTCTCTGGCAATATTTAAGCTGCCTGTCAGTTGGCAGAGGCTTGGTGGTGCCCGGCGCAGGGAACAGAATGAGACCCGGCTGAGCGCAGTAAGTTCCCTTTCAGCTTCTACCTCGAGTCGGGGAGCTCCGGTTGGTGCGTGGGTTCGGGGCTGCTGCTGGGCTGCGGGTCAG